GGGGTGGGGGGGTTATGGGGTGAATTAGGGAGAGGGTGGTGGTGGGAGATGGGGTTCAAGGGTAAGAAATGGGAGTTTAAAAGGCTTTAAGGGTCTGAAAATGGGAATTAAAGAAGATTTAAGTGCCTGAAAATGGGAATTAAAAAGCTTTAGGTGACCAAAAATGGGAATTAAAGCAGCTGAGTTGTGCTTTAAGAGCCTGAAATGGGAATTTAAAGGCTTTAAAAGCCAAAAATGGGAATTAAAGCAGCTGAGTTGTGCTTTAAGAGCCCAAAAATGGGAATTTAAAAGCTTTAAGAGCCCCAAAATGGGAATTAAAGCTGCTGAGTTGTGCTTTAAGAGCCCAAAAATGGGAATTTAAAAGCTTTAGGTGACCAAGAATGAGAATTAAAACAGCTGAGTTGTGCTTTAAGAGCCAAAAAATGTTAATTTAAAAGCTTTAAATAACAAAAAATAGGAATTAAAGCAGCCGAGTTGTGTTTTAAGAGCCCAAAAATGGGAATTAAATAAACTTTAAGCACACAAAAATGTGAATTAAAACAGCTGAGTTGTGCTTTAAGTGCCCAAAAATGGGAATTAAAAAGCTTTAACTGCCCAAAAACATAAACTTCAAAAACTAAGCACCCAGAAATGTGAATCAAAACAGTTTTAAGTGCCAAAAAAATGCAAATTAAAGCAGCTAAGTCACCCCCAAAAACTTTTAATTGCCTAAAAATGTTAATTAAAGCAGTTGAGTTGTGACTTAAGTGCCCAAAAATGAAAATTAAAGCAGCTTTAAGTCACCCCCAAAAGCTTTAGGCACCCAAAAAATGTAAATTCAAACAGCTTTAAGTGCTCAAAAATGCAAATTAAAAGCAGAAAAAAAAGCCTCTTTGCTTTAAAAATACAAATTCCTGGGCAAAAATGACATCATTTTCATCGCTACCAATAAAAAGATTACAAATATTTGAGCATTCAATGGCTGATTTTGTCCTGGCAGCGAACGCCGAGGTTGCAAAGTCCAACGGGGAAGCTGAAATTGCCCAATTTTTGCCCAAAAAACAAAGGGCAGGGTCCCAAAATTCAACCCACGCTCACCTGTGTCGTTCTCCAGCTCGAAACGGAGATTTTCTGTGGAAAAAAAAAAAGAAATAAATTGAGATTTTTTTTATGCACATGTGACCTCATTTTATGGCTCCATCCATGTAGAAATCTGGGGAAAATTTGCTGCTTTTCAGGCAAAAAGGGCTTTTAGATTTTAATTTTTGATGAGCAGATGCTTAAGCAATAGAGAAACAAGAACGCAGCTCAAACCAAAATCACACTGTAAGTTAAATTTCAGATTTTAGGAATTCAAAATCCCGTTTACAAATCCAAAATTCGAAATTCCGTTAAGAAACAAGTTCAAAATTCCGCCCCGAAATCAAAATTTCCCACCGTGGATTCAAAACCCCGTTTACAAATTCAAAATTCCGGCCCCGAATCCAAAATCCCGTTAAGAAACAAATTCAAAATTCTATCGCGTATTCAAAATTCCCGCCCCGAATTCAAAATTCCCATCATAAATCCAAAAATCCTACCCTGAATTCAAAATCCCTGCTCCAAATTCAAAATACCATTAAGAATTCAAAATTCCCACTACAAACTCAAAAATCCCATTTATGAATTCAAAATCCCACCCCAAATTTAAAAATTCTGTTCACAAATTCAAAATTCCCACCTCAAATCCAAAATTCCCATCACAAATACAAATTTCTGCTAAGAGTTCAAAATCCTACCACAAATCCAAAATCCCGTTTGCAAATCCAAAATCCCATTTATGAACTCAAAATTCCTGTCCTGGATTCAAAATCCCACCACAAATTCAAAAATTCTGCTACAAATTCAAAATTCCACCACAAATTCAAAAATTCTGCTACAATTTCCAAATTCCGCCCCGAATCCAAAATTCTGTTTGCAAATCCAAAACCCCATCCTCAACCCAAACTCGCCGGCCCAAACTCAAACGCGCCGGCCCAAACTCAAAATTCTGTTAAGAATTTAAATTTTTAACAGATTTTTTTTAAGGAAAGCCTTACAGAAAACTCACCCTTGAACTCCAGCAACACTTCCTTCAGCACCGCGCTCTTCTGGGAAAAGCTCTTGAGTTTCTTTTCCAGCTCTGCGAAGCCGCCCTCGGGTTTGCAAAACATCCAGCTCTCCAAACTGGGCAAGAAAACGAAATATTAGGACCAAAAAATACAATAAAATATAGAAAAATCTGCAAATTTGAGGCAGGGAAAAAGCCCCTGCCCCGCTATTGAAGAGGCTTGGTGTTGGGTTATTCTCCCAGTTAAACCAGTAAGGGTTCTGGTTTGCACTCACCTGCTTCCCACCGGGGCAACACCCTGGAAAAGAATTAGAAAATAAATAATGAGGAAAAGTCTTCTTTTTACCCCCAAAATCCTCCCCAAAATTGGGCTGCTCTGCTCTCAGCAGCCACTTCCAAAGCCGAGTGCATTTAGGACTCGGGGAAAAGGCAAAATTAAGCTGATAATTACAATATTTTCCTTATTCTGGGTTTTTTTTTTAGCGTGAGGAAGGAAAATATTGAGAATTTTTAAAGAAATTTGGAAAAATTATTGATATCAAGTTGCCAAAATCTTGAGCATTTAGTGCTTGGAGTGATATAAAGTGTTTAGGACATTTTTTGGGGGGTATTTTTTGGGATCAAAGGAAGCCCAAGCAGCCTCAATATCCGATTTTACCCCCTTAAAACTGCTAACATTTGGGGTTTCACCCCAAAAAACCCCAACTTAAAGTCAAAATAACCCAGATTCACGGATGGGTCATCTCTGTTATGGAATTAAGAGACCCCAACCCAGCACAAAGTGACTTTCAAACCCCACGGACCCCAACCCCAAACTCTTCCAGTTTCACCCCAAAAATCCCAGTCTGGGAGGGCCTCATCCCAGTTGCTCCCACCTGTCCGGCCTGGTTTGCGGGGCCGTTTTCCCCCCCTTGCTCGCTGATGAGTTTATCGAGCTGGGCGATCTCCTCGGAAAGCCGGGTCACGCTCTCGTCCCTCCTCTTGACCACGTCTTTCTCCAGCTCCTCCAAGCGCGACAGCAAAAGCTGCTCCTTCTCCTCCAAAAAACCCCGCAGCTCCTTGCACTCGGCCACGATTTTCTGCCTCTCCACCTCCGTCTGCTTCTGCAAAACCCAAAAAGGGGCAAAATCGACGTGAAAAAGGCATTCCCCAAGCCAAAAGGAGAGAATTTGAGGGGGAAAATCCACACTCACCAGTAAATCTTCGCTCTGCCGCTCCCTCTCAGCCTTGGCTTCTTCACGGCTTTTCCTCAGTGAGCTCAGATGCTCCTGGGGCACCTCCTAGAAGGAGAAAAAGCAGAGATTTGGGTGGAAATCTTTAAAATTTCCCATTCAAAATTCCGTAAAAATTTCCCATTCAAAATTTCCCACTCAAAACTCCAATATAGGATTCTAATAAAATACCTATAAAAAATCCCCAATATAAAAAAACTCTCACATTAAAAGTTCCAGTATAAAATTCCATTAAAATCCCAATATAAAATTCCACAGATTCCACAAAAAAATCCCAAAATAAAATCCCAATATAAAATTTCATTCAATTTCCAAGATAAAAAATTCCAAGGTAAAAAACTCCCATATCTCAAGTCCCCAATATCTCAAGTCCCCAATATCTCAAGTCCCCAATATCTCAAGTCCCCAATATCTCAAGTCCCCAATATCTCAAGTCCCCAATATCTCAAGTCCCACAAAAAAATCCCAAAATCCCAATACAAAATTCCGTTAAATTTCCAAGATTAAAAATTCCATAAAGTTTCCAATATAAGAAATTCCAAGATAATTCAAAAACCCAACATCCAAAAAAATTCCCAATATAAACAATTCTCAATAGCAAAATTCCAATGGAAAATTTTACAAAAATCCACTGCAAAATTCCACAAACCTTCACCATAAAATTCCACAAACCTTCACCATAAAATTCCACAAACCTTCACCATAAAATTCCACCAAAATGCTATATAAAATTCCACCAAAATGCTATATAAAATTCCACCAAAATTCTATATAAAATTCCACCAAAATTCTATATAAAATTCCACCAAAATTCTATATAAAATTCCACCAAAATTCTATATAAAATTCCACCAAAATTCTATATAAAATTCCACCAAAATTCTATATAAAATTCCACCAAAATTCTATATAAAATTCCACCAAAATTCTATATAAAATTCCACCAAAATTCTATATAAAATTCCACAAAACTTCACCATAAAACTTCACCGCGAAATTCCACAAAAAATTCACCGCAAAATTCCACAAAAATTTCACCGCAAAATTCCACAAAAATTTCACAAAAATTTCACCGCAAAATTCCACAAAAATTTCACCGCAAAATTCCCAATCTCAAAAGACTCAGTGCCACCTACCTTGCCACCGCTAATTACCATAATTAACACGTGGTGGCTAATGAACCCATAATTCCCTGCCCCATCACCCCCCTCTCCTCCTCCTCCTCTGCATAGTCAACATCCGCTCCGCGTCCGGCATCTTGGTATCCCAAAACCCAAGCCCAGGGTCAAGCGGCCACGCCCCCACACTTCTTAATTAATTAACAACAATTATTCCCAACGGGGAGCCCCCCTGGCATCGTTACAGGGGGGTTGTTCCCTTCCTCGCAGGTTTTTTGGAGGAAACTGGAGGCCGGGCTCTGTATTCGCTCTGCGTCACTCGTCTGCCCTGGGGGATTCCTGCTCCGTTTGAGCTAATTAATTTAATTTCTTTGAAAAAATTAAACCCTCCTTGTCCTAAAAAGCCAAGCTCTGCAGTGTTCCTACCCAGGGATGCGATGGGGGGGGAGGATTTTGGGGTATTTTGCACGTTCACACCCCTGTTTGTTGTTTTATTCGGCCCACACCCCCCTCCCAGTATCTTTCCAGTTAAACCCAGCTCCGTTCTGCACATTTGGGGGTCAACCTCCACCCCAGGAGGTCTCTGTTTTTGGGGAGAGGGGAATTTACTGCACTCTCCACCGCATGGAGGAGCACCCAGCTGGGAAGGGGGGGCCGTATTTTGCACCCCACAACCTGAGGGGGGGACCCCGCTGCACCCCAGGCAAATGTGTATGCTCGCATCAGGGGTTGCTCCCTATTGCACCCTACCCCCTGGGAGTGGGTACGAGTGGGGGGGGTGTCCCCTTATTGCACCGAGGGGGCTCCCCAATGCACTCCCACTCCGTGGGGTGCCCTCCTTGCACCCTAAATTTGGGGTGGGGAGGCTTTTTTTTGCAGAACGGGTCCTTACTGCACCCCCAGCCTTGTTAGGGGGGAGCTCCTGCACCCTAAAAGGCTCCCCAGGGGGTGCCCTCATTGCACCCCCACATCCCTGGGGGGCTCCCAGTCCTCTC